TGACCTCGATCTTACTTGCTTTTGGTACCTTTTGAATCCCTTAAATCTTGACCAAAAGGGATGTTCTTAACATTCTTGTCACATTGTTGTTTCGTTTCACCGTTTGTTTTGATTTGTCGTACCCAAGCTTTGGGGACGAAGCTTCTTTTAATGGGGAGAGGATGTGACACCCCGTAATCCAAATTCTATTTAGGGATTAATTGAGTAATTAATCCTAATACAATTGGTAATTTAATTCTTTAAATTCCTGAAAATTCAATAGTCGGGGACTAGTAATTGACTAGTCAACCCAAGTCAAAATGTTGTACCTAAAGCTTTATGAATAGTTCCCTTGTTCCCTTACACTTTCTCATCTTAGTAATGGCAAAGAAGACATTTCCCTTATGATTGTATTCCAAACTAACCTAGAAGACATCTCTCATTTCTCTCCTAACACTTTGAAATCAAAAGTTCTTCCTTCTCTCTAAAAACCTAGCTAGCTTTCTCTCCAAACTAAGATTAGGCTTTCCAAGATCTTCAAAGTTTGTCTCCAAGATTCTACCTTTCCTACTCTTGAGCATCTAGGAGGGTAAGATCTATGTTCCTTTTGTGTTTTTAGTGTTTTCTAAGGTATCTTTTCCTAAAGATGAAATCTTTATGATCTTTTGGTGTGTTCTTGAAGTGGGTGTGGAAGGTGAACCTTGTTAGGGGCTTTGAGGAGTGTTAAGTGAAGGTTTTTGTCTACAAGAGGTAACCCATGCTCTACAAAATCTATTTTGCTTACCTATATGATGATTTATTGGATTCTACATGTGATTTTGCTATGAAATGTGAGTGTTGATGCATTGTCTTGTGAAAATTCATATCTAGAGCTTGTTATTAGGGCTCCTGTGTGCCATTGCTAGGCTATTCCTTTGATTCAAGTCATTTTGTTGTATTTGGTGAGATTTGGCATGTTTTGGACTTGAATTTGAGCTTGGTATTGAAAATCCCTGAAGGGATATTTTTGGTACAGGAGTTGTACCCGCGGGCGGAACGGCGGGTAAGGGTCCACCCGCCGCCCCACCCGCGGGGTACGTGGTGTGTGGGAGTGTGTTCCCGCGGGCGGAACCACGGGTGGGGGTCCACCCGTGGCCCCACCAGCGGGGTACATATGTGGCTTGTGCGGGGATTTATTCCCCGTGATTCTTTTGAATCTGTATTTGGTCTTTTGACTTCCCGATGTTCTTTTGTGGAACTATTTGAGTGTCTTCTTGATGTTTCGTATGTCTAGAACTATATGGTAGGATTCCATGTAGGTTTTGGTGTCTTGAATCGTGCTAAGTGTTCAACATTGTGATTCGTTGAACCATGATGAGTTTTGTGTGTTCTTCGGAACTATGTTTAGTTTACCCATTTGATAAACATGCTAGTTTGGTGTTTAAATGCTAACGTGTGTGGTTTGTTATTTCCTATTGTGGATGATGACTTGTGTTAATCATCGTTGTTGTCGGATTGTGATCCTTCTCTTGTTGAGTATGGTTTCATATCTTCGTTGTGATCCGTTGATTGATTCCTATGATGGTGTTGTGTGTGTGGCTGTACCTGGATTGCACGATTAATGGTATGGGACATTAGTCACCAAGGTACGACAGTGGTCCTCGTGGTGGCCATGACGCGATTATGGAGTTTGTGACCTGTGTGATGGGTTCACGTATTTCCTGGGAGGCATGTGTTGCCGTGTGTGTGTTCGGTACCTCGTGTACTATGAATCGGTGGAATCGTTGGTGGTCGTTGGTGGGGGACGACGGTCCCAGGAGGGAAAAGGTTGGACTTGGATGTACTGGGGTCCTAGAGGCTGGAGGTAATGGTTGGAACTAGTTATAAGGTTGGGGGTAGCCATAAGGTTGGAACCGGGCATAAGGAAGGCATATCAATTCGTGATGGGTGATGTCACGAAGGCAAGTGTTGCCATTGTGTAATTCTATATTCGTGACGAGTGATGTCGCGAAGGCATGTGTTGCCATTGTGTGTCTCTTATTCTCTTGTGTTATGCATGTCGGGTGATATTCTACTGAGTGATGGTAGAATACGCCTTGAGCCGTTCTTGTGTGTCGTTGTTATTTCTTGTGGTCTTGGGATGTGTTCCCTTATCTTTGTTGTGAGTGCATAGAGACTTGTGATTGGCTTCTACTCTTGGCTTTGAACTTATATATACTATATCCGGTTTCGCAAATGATTTTGTATATATATATATATATATATATATATATATATATATATATATATATATATATATATATATATATATATATATATATATATATATACATATATATATATATCCTATCTATGAATGATATTTCACATGTATTGGTGGGTTATCAGCATCATTTGCTGACCAGGCGTCATCCCATATATTTATGTGTTTCTTTCAGGTTCCGAGTAGAGCATGCGCGGTCTAGTGATGGCTAGTATAGATCCCTTAGACCTTGTAGTTGTTTTGGCCTGTGTGCCTATGTTGGATTTAGACTTGTTGTCGTTTGACCTTATCCTTTGTAGACAGATTATGTTGATGTTATTTACGCCTGTGCGTTCACCATAGTGTGGGCGTGGCATAACACTCTACGTTTTCCATCTATTTCATATCTAGACTTCCGCTGTGTATGCTTTTATGGTTAGATTATCTGCATGATTAAGTTTTAATTCGGTACAGAAATCGAGGGTGTTACATTATGTGCTTAATGTGCGTGTGTTTGTGATTAATGATATCCATTTAAAAATCTTAAGTGCGTGAGTTTTTTGCTTAATGTGCTTAAGGTGTGTGGCTTATGTACTTAATGTGAGTGATTTGTGTTTTTAAGGTTCTTTGTTTGTGTGCTTAAGGTGCGTGGTAATTTGTGTAGTTAAGGTGCATGGTGATTTGTGTAGTTAAGGTGCGTGGTGATTTGTGTACTTAAGGTGCGTCCAACCGCACAACCGCACGAGAAGCATCACCCGCACCTGAACCTTTCCATATATATATATATATATATATATATATATATATATATATATATATATATATATATATATATATATATATATATATGTAATAGATTTTGGTTCCTGTGAGGTCAAGTCTTCCTGTGCGGTCAGTGCGGCATACACTATTAGGTATGCATAAATGCACCATACAGTGTCCGAAAATACACCAGAATGAAATGCCAAAAAACGCACCACAAAAAAAAAAAAAAATACACCATACATATAGTGTATTTACGAACACTGTATGGTGCATTTATGCATACCTAATGGTGTATGCTGCACTGACCGCACAGGAAGACCTGACCTCACAGGAACCTGACCCTATATATATATATATATATATATATATATATATATATATATATATATATATATATATATATATATATATATATATATATATATATATTCAATTTCTTTAGTTCAAAAATATTATATTTATCAATTTATGTATTTTTTTTTTATTATAATAAGTTACAAGTTAAAAATTATTTATTTATATTTTTATTATAATTATTAATAAACTTTATAACTATTATCAATATTAATTCATAATTTTTTTTAATATGAATATTAGTTATTATCATCATTAAAATACTAAATATTTTATAATAAATAGTTTAATAAAAGGTTTTTTTTTTTTTTAAATGAACCAAATAAAAAAATACATTTTTTTTTTAATTTTGAGCCAAACATAAAAAATGAAAATGATTTCATTAAAGAAAATATTTTTCAGAAAATATTTTCCGTATTTCCAAACGCACTATGATCTAATCTAAGTGAAAAATGTTATAGCAACAACAAAATTAATATTAATCAATTTAGATTACACCGGTCAATTGAATAAGGTTCAAGTTTATCAATTTAATTAGTAAATTGTCAAAGATTGTTAAACATGGAAATCTTGATTAATGACTTGGGACAAAACATCATATGGATATGACAAACTTGTAGGCACACCCTTCCCCCTTTTTCTTCAACAACCAAACCCCCAAAGGGAGAAAATGCAAAAAAGAGCCAAAAACTCAAAACTGCACAAAAGAAGGACCTTTTTGGAGTGTCACACACTCTTACACTTTAAAATAGTAAAGAGACCCAACTTTAGGGCACAGATAATGCCATGCGCACCTTACCTTTTGTTCCCCAAACAATCCACCCTAACCGACGCCCCCACTTCCCATTCCTTTCCTTCTTCCCCTTTCATATCCTGTGCAAAAGTGCTTCTCACTGCAGTTGAAAATGAAGTCTCTGCATGCGTATGATTAGCTGCAATTTGTCTCTATTATTCTCAATTTAACCTCTCCATAAGTAAATCAACTACATATACGAGGGTACCCCGCATCTTAAGAAGGTTTGGAGGGCCTAGTCAAGTATCCTGCCATTGAAACTATTAGTGTTAGCTTAAAGGACCAAATACAACATCCTTCCATGGAAACATAATGTTATTAAATTTAACTTTTGGTGTCATAATTATTCCAACATCTTCGATGTTTGGGATGAGACTCAAACTTGTGACCTTCCTTTTGAAATAGTAACAATGATGTCATCAAACTACAAGATACTTGGCTGTTAAGCTAGTATTATATATGAAATAAAATTGCACATTTACTACGTACTAGCTATAACCTTATATGTAATAGTAGGTGCTCGGTACTTACATCTTTAAAAATTAAAAGTTAACAAAGATGATAACGGTTGGTTTTATGACTTTTGGACAATCAAAGATGATAATGGTTGATTTTCTCTATATTTTTTTCTATATTCTCGTTATTTTAGCAGTAGTGTTGGCCTGCCGTGCCTTAAGTTGACTGCCCAAAAAGTGGTAAAAATTACATTAACATTGTCTTGCCTATTATAACGTAGCTATGAATGAGTTTGAAACTAAGTAATCATTGTTGTTAATAATTTCTTATTTCTATTTTGTTGACTTTAAACGAATTTGTTGGCAAAAAAGATAAAAAGGTATGCGTGCTCCACAAATTTTGAAATGGACCCTAGTTATACATATCCATATGGTAGCCAGCACCAACAAACAGCTTGCTCCCACAAATCACAAATAGTTTTTGCTACACATATATATAGCCTTACATCCCCTCATCTTCTTTAATTTCGTCTTCACTTCAATCCTCCACCCTTGAAAACCCTAAATCTCCAAAGGGTTTTTTGTTTTATTTTTCTGTCATGGCCATGGCTAAAAGAATTAGGGTTTTCCGGCATAGGGTTTCTGCTCTCCGTTTTCACTTCTTTGATCCATTCTCCGGCACCGGTCACCGGCGAAGTTTGAGCCCTTCTCCAAGCTAAGATTATCACAACAATCTTCCGTGCAAAGGGGAATCAAGCGCTCCTGGTCCGACTGCTTACTATCATTAATCTTTTTTCTTGATAATTAATTAGTTTGGCTCATGTGGTAATATGGGTTTGTATTTCTTTTGATATCTTGTGTACTTAATAAGTCAAACACTTAGATTTGATTTGTAAATTGTATTGTATGTAGCAATACTAGCCATGTTGTTTTGTAGTAACACTAGAAAATTACTGCATAAATTTTTTTATTTATGCAGTAAGAGACTATAGTGTTTGATTGAGTGTGTGTTTCTGATTTTGATTGTAATAATCAACCAGTACTATGTGATCGAGTTGGTACCCGAATTTATTATTGGTGCTGGTATGAGGTCTTAGGATTGGAAAAGTAAGTTTTTACAAGTTCTGAATATATTTAATTTGGAAGGTGCTTTAATTTTCTTAAATTTTTTAGTAAGAGATTTGTATGTTGAATGTCTAGTTTAATTAATTCATTGTCTTTGTTTTTGCTACAAGTTAAATTAAGCTATTAATTAGATTTTGCTTCTGATTTCAACTTTTCAAGCCTGTAGTTTCTTCAAAGTGCAGTAAATGAGATGAATTTGGTGCCAGAAGAGTGAGAAATAGTTGTATATTTTTTCTATATATGTTCCTTTGGTTTTGTATGCATGAGCTACCAATGAGAACAATAATATGCAAAGAATTTTAGTATTGATCAATCATATTTACAAAGTATATGTAGAGAAATACTTATAAGAGTGCAGGCTAGGATTAGTCTTAGTTAGGTTAGGAATGGTACGAGGTAGATTTACAATAATAGAGTGAGAGGGAGAAGGAATTCTAGTATTGATAAAATACAAAGTCTTAATACGTCTCCTCAAGCTTAAAGGTATCTAGAGAGAATATTGATCGAGCTTGTACCATAGAAGATCGAATTTGGTTGTGGTGAATATGTCTGCTAGTTGGTCTTTTGTAGAATTTAACACACTTGTAGTTTCTTCGATGCTACTTTGTCACTAACAAAATGGTAGTCTATTTATACATGTTTAGTTCGGGCATGAAACACATGATTTGTACACAAAGTGCTTGTTTCAAACCATAGATAAATTTTTGCAGTTTCCAAACAAGAGTATGAAAATTTTTTGTTGATGTACCCGGGTGGTTGCTTCATAAAATCATTCTCACTTAGGCTTCCATTCAGGAAGGCATTGTGAATATTGAGCTGTCAGATAGACCAATTTTTTGTTATTGCAAGAGATAAGATGAGTCTTACTGTAGTTGGTTTGACCACTGGGCTAAAAGTGTCAAAGTAATCTTCTCCTTCAACCTGGTTAAACCCTTTGCAACAAGTCAAGCTTTGTATTGTTCAATTGATCTAACAGTTTTACTCTTAATTAAGAACATCCACTTGCATCCAATTACGTTCATATCTCGATTAAGTGAACCAACTTTCATACGTTGTTGTGTAATAACGCATTGAATTCTTCGTCCATCGATGTTTGCCGTGTAGGGCTTTTCATGACTTGAGAGTGGCAGGTGGGCTCAAAATTATCTATAATTGTTACCTGTGGATTCACGAGTCATGTGCCAAAGTACCTTAGGATGTGTGCGTTGAGCTGGGGCTACTGGTTGATTCCGTTTAGGCTTGGAATGAACAACTGGAGGATGTTCGGGAGCCAAATCCGTTGTGGGAGGGGGGAAGGGTACTGTCAACAAGAACGTATCTTGGGGGTGTCATGGCCGTGTCTCTTTTTTTAGGTGCGATAGACCGTGTCTCTTTATGGTGAGGTGACACAATAGTGTTGATCTTTGGGCAGTTTGATCTATTGGTGTGTTGACGACAACCAATGTCATTGCATCTCAAGCACGAGTTAGAACTTATAGAGGTGTTTTTGCTGCAAAAGGGAAACCATGCATTTTCATCAAATTGGACATGGAAAACAATAAAAAAATTTCTAGTATTGAGATTCAAACAAAGATATCTTCTAAGGACTCTGGGTAACCAATGAAGACAGATAGGGCATAACTGAACTATAATTTGTGTTTGTTGTAAGGACGAAGATAATGAAAGCACAAGCAACCAAGGACACAGAGAAAGGAATAATCAGAATTTAATTGTTTTGTTGATGAGAGCATAAGGGCTCATATTGTTTAAGGTTGTAGAGGGTGTTTGCTAGGCATATTTTACACTCATATTTTAGGTACATCTTTATAATAATTTTACATTAATTATTTAATATTATTTAATAATTAGTTCTTTATAGAGTTTAACAATTAATGAGTTAAATATACTACTATATATATATATATATATATATATATATATATATATATATATATATATATATTATAAATCTACGAATAAATTATGTAGTAAAATGGTCCAATTCTTAAATTAAATTCTTAGCATGCAAACAAACAATTACAGGGCGTTTGGTTGGAGGGATTTTAAATTCCCTTCCCACTTAATTCCCACCTAATTCCAAAGGCCATTAAATTCCGTAGTTTGGTTGGAGGGAATTGCAATTCCATGAAATTGCAATTCCCCCATTTTCATAGAATTAAAATCCATGTCCCCCCTGGTATTTTAATTCCTGGGAAAAAAAGATAGTGATGAGTCAACATTACCCCTTCCTTTTTTAACTTAAAATTAATGTCTAACAACAATAATGGACATTTTTGACTTTATACTACTTATTCCCTTTCAATTCTCATTTATACCAAACATTGGAATTGAAATTCCCAGTAATTCTATTCATGTCAACCAAACACTGGAATTTAAATTCCCACTTTATTCCCAGTAATTCAACTCCCATGGAATTACAATTCTTTTCCCACATAATTCCCCGTGTTGGTTTTTGGATTTTCGGGCCCAAGGAGGTCCAACACAACCTGTGGTTGGTGGATTCACATTTCATAATAAGGCTACTAAAATAGAAGAAATATGACTCGATGATTTTTACGTGGAAACCGAAAGGTGAAAACTACGGGCCTTTTTGGGCGGTGCCAAGCCTAACTCCACTATGTATTTTGTAGGTGTCTTTGTACATGTTGTATGGCTATTTTGTATATAGAGATGGAGTATGCTTCTTTGTGGTATAATGGAGTCTTCTTGATAATCTTCTTGTTGTGTATATGAATTGCCTTCTCTTGGGAGAGTAGTGTAGGAAGAGTGCTTGTATGTATGAATGAATGATGTCTTCTTAAAGGAGAAAGAGTAGTGAGTGGGAGAATAGTACTTGGGAGAGTCCTCCCACATATAGATGAATGAGTGGATGGATCCCCCTTTTCTTCTTGTCTAACCCTCCTTTTTTATAGCTAACCCATCCCAAAAGTGTCCGTTGGACATTTAGTAGGGTAGTGATGTGTGTTAATTAGGGGGTTATGGATAATAACAATAATAACAATAATAACAATAATAACAATAATAACAATAATAACAATAATAACAATAATAACAATAATAACAATAATAACAATAATAACAATAATAACAATAATAACAATAATAACAATAATAACAATAATAACAATAATAACAATAATAACAATAATAACAATAATAACAATAATAATAATAATAATAATAATAATAATAATAATAATAATAATAATAATAATAATAATAATAATAATAATAATAATAATAATAATAATAATAATAATAATAATAATAATAATAATAATAATAATAATAATAATAATAATAATAATAATAATAATAATAATAATAATAATAATAATAATAATAATATAATAATAATAATAATAATAATAATAATAATAATAATAATAATAATAATAATAATAATAATAATAATAATAATAATAATAATAATAATAATAATAATAATAATAATAATAATAATAATAATAATAATAATAATAATAATAATAATAATAATAATAATAATAATAATAATAATAATAATAATAATAATAATAATAATAATAATAATAATAATAATAATAATAATAATAATAATAATAATAATAATAAGAAGATGGGGTAATAAGTGGGAGGTTAGGAATGGTGGGGGTAGTAAATAGGACTTTTAAGGGTAGATAATTAGGAATTTAATAGGGGCTAACAGCTAGTTTTAGGCCGACCCTCTACCCATGCCGATTCCACACTCGCGCCGACTCCCGTGTCGAGCCGACTCCTCGGCTGGGCCCGTATCTCTTTTGGGCTTACTCCATTTTCCTCTTGGGCTTTGCTTGTTCTTCTTGGGCTTGATCTTTTTTCTTCTTGGGCCCCGAGCCCCCGGGGTTCACACCCCATCAACTAGTCCCTCACTTTTCTATGTCTCGTGCTTAGCAGGACATGGAAAAGTATATTGTCTTGCCTCAAAATTATCCCCCTCGATTCTTGCGGACTCTTTATTCAAGATCCCACATGACTCTATCCTCATGACTTCTCTCCGTTTGCCATATGACCGACTGCTTCAGTGGATGTGACCCTCCGGTTTCGAGCCCCTTCTTTCTTTAGCCGTTGAAGTGAATCTCGGCTGTAACTTTTTCATTCTTTAAGAAACTTCTAAGGGTTCGGACCCTCGATTCCTTCTTTATTCGCCGAGTCCCTCAGTCGAGGCGACTCTTCGGTGGTAGCTTCTTTTCCCTCTAGAAATGTCTAAGGGTCGGAACCCTGGTTTCTTTTCTCTTTTTCTCTAGAAAGGTCTATGGGTCGAAACCCTTGTTTCTTTTCTCTTTTCTCGCCGAGTCCCTTAGTCGAGGCGACCCCTTAGGCTTTTTCCTCTCTTAGAAACGGTTTAGGGTCAGCGCCCCATTGTTTCTTTATATACTCGCCGAGTCTCTCAGTCGAGGCGACTCCTTTTGGCTTTTTCTCGGAAACGACTAAGGATCTGAGCCCTTGTTTCCTATCTTTTCTCGCCGAGTCCCTCAGTCGAGGCGACCCCTTAGGCTTTTTCTTCTCTTAGAAACGGTTTAGGGTCAATGCCCCGTTGTTTCTTTATATACTCGCCGAGTCCCTCAGTCGAGGCGACTCCTTTTGGCTTTTTCTCGGAAACGACTAAGGGTCTGGGCCCTTGTTTCCTATCTTTTCTCGCCGAGTCCCTCAGTCGAGGCGACCCCTCAGGCTTTTTCTTCTCTTAGAAACGGTTTAGGATCAGTGCCCCGTTGTTTCTTTATATACTCGCCGAGTCCCTCAGTCGAGGCGACTCCTTTTGGCTTTTTCTCGGAAACGACTAAGGGTCTGAGCCCTTGTTTCCTATCTTTTCTCGCCGAGTCCTCAGTCGAGGCGACCCCTTAGGCTTTTTCTTCTCTTAGAAACGGTTTAGGGTCAGTGCCCCGTTGTTTCTTTATATACTCGCCGAGTCCCTCAGTCGAGGCGACTCCTTTTGGCTTTTTCTCGGAAACGACTAAGGGTCTGGGCCCTTGTTTCCTATCTTTTCTCGCCGAGTCCCTCAGTCGAGGCGACTCCTTTGGATTTTTCTTCTCTTAGAAACGGTTTAGGGTCAGTGCCCCGTTGTTTCTTTATATACTCGCCGAGTCCCTCAGTCGAGGCGACTCCTTT